GATGCATAAGCTCTCCTCCCCCTGGGAAGGGCCTTACATGGTCAAAGAGGTTACCCGACCAGGGTCTTACCAGCTATGTGACATGGAAGGAGTCGATATCCCCAATTCGTGGCACATCGAGCACCTTATACGTTTCTATCCTTGAAACGCTCCAGATATGTACTCTCTACTTCATGATGAATAAAGTTTTTGTCGCCATAATTTGTCTCCACTATTTCTCCACTTTGGTTTAATCTCCATTTGTGGTCTCCAGCTCTAAGCTACTCCTTAACAAACTCCGACAATTATACGTGATCTCCATAAATGCTCCGTCACGCTTCTCCATACTAAAATATCATTAAGATATTTTGCTAACCATCGAGCAGCACACGTTCCGCTCTATGTTCTTTGAAGAAAACCCAGTCTCCGATCTCTCCCTACATGTGCTACGGGCTCTGCGCTCTACGTTATGGGTGGTCGGCTATGGTTCCTCGGTCATGTCTGTTCCTCCTACACGTGCACGAGCTCCAGCGCTCGACGTTATGGAATACGGGCTAGCCAAGGCCAAGAGCTCAGTAAAGAACTAACTACTCAGACGCTACTTATACCACGTATAAACGCGATAGGGTTAACAACAAGTTTCTTTTTCACCGAAAGTGCTAGCAAGCCGCATAAACATGCACATGTCATCTGCATACAACATTTATACAAGTACATAAATGTTTGCTTATGCCCTCGCGCATCTAACTCTCCTCTCTAGATGTCCCATACGGGTTCCTTTCCACTCAGGTTTGGCCCTCACTGTCTGCCTCACCGAACAGATCGACATCGCCGGCCAGACTCTTCGCCGCGTCCTCCACCTCATCCTTCAGCTGCTCCTGCTTCGTCACACCCATCCCTCTGGCAAATCCGACCCCTATCACTCGAAGATTGATGGCATGGTAGTGAGACCGGACCACCGCCAGGGCGCGACGGAGATAGTGGCGTCGCGGTTGAAGCTCTTGAAGTTCTCCCATGCCAGTTTGCACCTGTCGATGATGGCGTTCGGACGTGGTGGCCTATCGTCGGGATGAGGAGCTACCTCCATGTTGATACAGTCGAGCACCGGCTTGACTTCGGCCACCACGGCGTTGAGTTTTCCCCTCTGGGTGTCATCCTCAGTGTGATACCTGAGTAAAGGACATTGTGATGAAGCGTGTCATCCTTAATGTGAAACCTGTTGCTCTCATACGGACTGTGCCTAGTGATAGCGTTCCCATCTACTGGCCAATTCCCCGCTGGTCAGTGAGTGAGCAGTGATTGTTGACCCGAGAAAATATGGACCTACATCCCTGGCTTTGAGGAGCGACAAAGGCAAGAGCTGGCTTAGGGATTAGGCATTGGAGTGGGTCCAATCTAGGGGAGAAATTTTGTACGGTCAGCGACAAGCGGCAAGGGCACGGTAGGCAGGAGCGCACATGGCGCGGCAAAGGCCCAGCGCGGCCAGAACGGGCGAAGCAGGGCGAGAGGACAGAGGCGAGCGCGCGACACCCAAGCCAATAACGGAACAGAATCCGAGGAAGGCAAGGTCCGTGAACACAAGGCGTACCTGGTCATCGTCGAGGGAAGCAAGATCCGTGAGCACAAGGAGTACCAGGTCATCGACGGCGGCATTGTGGAGAGCCGCCGTGGGCCGCAGCATGTCGAGCAAGTCACCGAGCACAGCTAGAACTACCTCTAGGAGCGCAATGCTGTGGCTACAGGAGGAGGAGCCACCGCCGCCACAGGATCTCGACCATGTCTTGAGTGCTCAGACGGTACCGTCGAGGCGCACGAGGGCCGAGGAGTGCAGCTCGCACACAGACAACGTGTGTTCCGCCACCGACTTCCTTGTCATCCTCACCGGGCCCGCCGCCGGCTCGCCCCCCACCGCCGCCAATGTCATCACAGATGTGTGGACGGACAAGGGGGAGAGAGATTGCAAGGGGGTCTAGAGATTGATGCATACAACGGTGAGATGTAACGGTGGTGAGAGCAGCAGGGGGTTTGTGTATACTGATGGTTGGATTTACTGGTGGTGAGGGTGGTGGATCAGGCAGAATGGGTGGGATTGGGAGCTGGCCCCCAGCGGCGAAGTTGTCACTTCGCCTAGTGGGCATCGGGAAAAGCAACTTAGGCAAGAACGAGAGAATAGTAAAGTGAAATAGTTCGTCAATGGGGTAAATCATGTTGGGGCGATAGACAAGAAAAACACAAGGGAAGAACAGTGGGTGGGTGGAAGAGGCGAGGAAAATAAGAAAAATAATCGAGTAGTGTTCAATCGGCGAAGAAGCAGCGAGCACCACTTGGCTTGAAACAGGAGGAATCAACTGGCGGTTGAACAGAGCCTCACATATATTGATCGGAGGTTCGGAGCATAGCTAGCTTGAATCAGGAGTCACTCCGATTCAGCTAGAGGCTATGAATATTGGAGGAGGCATAGCAGATCTGTAATGGGATGGAGGAAGGAGGATAGGAGAGGAAGGGAGCCAACAGTCCGCCCAAGGTTCGAGTAGGTTGGTTGAAAGCGAGGCAAGGCAGGGAAAGGGATGGAGCCGGACCGGAAGGAGGGAGTAGGATGGGAGGAGGAAAGGTATGACAAGCGAGAAGTGAGGGCAGGCTAGAATTCATCGGATGAAGTCTATCTTATGAAGCATGGGGTGACTCCACAAACCAAACACATCACAAATTCTTCCTTCATGGTGTGACCGGTCTCCTAGACCACTCACACGGTAGCCACAGATCCAACCAAATGTTTAGATTCTAATCATCTCCAATCTGCCATATCATGCCGTTTCTCACCAAGTTGATTCCTTGCAGGATGCTACGCCATATATACGACATTCTACTTCTTGGCTTTACTTGCAAGCATGTCGTTCCCGCATAGTACTTGGCTTGTAAAACTCGGGCACAAAGGGAGCCTAGATCCTGCACCAACCTCCATCCTTGCTTAGCTAACATTGCTAAGTTGAAGGCATATATGTCACGAAACCCCGGTACTCCCTCCTTCGGTCTCATCAACTTCTCTTGGCTCAACCAATGGACCTTATGTTGTCCATCCTGTTGATTCCACCAATACCGACACACCATAGCGCTTATTTGATCTCACAGATCTTTTGTCAAGTCAAAACATCAATGACAAAAGTTGGGATCATGTGCAACTGCCTTGATCAAAACTTCCTTGCCCTTGATAGAAAATTTTCCTTCCACTCTTCAATTCTCTTCCACATGTGATCCTTCATATATGCAAAAGCATCGGATTTTTACCTCCCCACATGCAAGGTAAGCCTAAGTAATTCTCATTTGCTGTCTCACGTGCAACATTCAACACCTCCTGAACATCCTCCCTATCTCTTGCCTTCGTGTTCTTGCTGTACAGAACAACCGACTTGGCTCTGTTAATCATTTGTCCCGAGCATCTTTCATACAACTCCAAAATATGTTGCAGCTGCAAGCCTCCTCCCTATATACATGAACCAAGATCAATCAGTCGTCGATAAAAAGAAGGTGAGAAATGCTAGACGCTGCTTTGCAAATCTTTATTCCCAAGATCTGGCCTTCCCCTTCAGTTTGTTCAGCAGAGCTGAGAAGCCCTCCACATAAAGCAGGAACAGATATGTGGATAAAGGATCCCTTTGTCTGAGCCCTCTCTCCGGTGTGATATACCTGGACAAGTCGCCATTCATCTTCACCCTAAAAGACACCGATGTGACACACTCCGTAATGAGGTTAGTCGATTTTTCTGCGAACCCCATCTTGTCCATAATGCTTCTCATAAAAGACCATTTTCACACTGTCGTAAGCCTTGCTCATATCAAGTTTGATCGCCGCGTGTCCCCATTGTCCCTTACGCTTATTCAACAAGAAGTGAGTGAGCTTATGATACTATCCAAAATCAATTAGTTGGAGACTTGACTAAGAAATTAGCTCATCTATTAGTTTTTTAGTTGGATACACTAAAGTTAATTTTTAGCTAGCTAGTAATTAGCTAATGTATCTAAACAAACCCTTTATTATTGTTGATATGAGTAAATTCTACCATCGCATTTGCCGCTAGTGTCATCTCAAAACATCAATGGTCATATATTCATGCAGCTGGTCATCTACCATCTACCATTCTCTTTGTTTTTATACACCGAGATTCGTCCCCTCCTCCTTTGACCACGTCGCCCGCTCGTTTGCCAAAGGTTGCATCAATTCGGACCCAGAAACTTCGCTGCCAACCCAAAAAATAGGATCCGCCACCTCCCTCCACCTGTTCCCTGGAGGCCTCCGCTGTCCACATCCTCACTTGCACTGCTTCATGCATGCCCGTCCATGACCCGTCACCTGGCTTGTACTCCCTCCATTCCTAAATAACTCAAATTGTTTGGCTGTACGAATAAGCAGCTGCTGCAGCAACCGCTTATTTTTCTCTCTCACAGTACGGTAGAAATAACAGCTGTATGATGTCATTTTCACTTTCCGATAAACAACTTTGACTAAATATATATATAAAAATATTAATATTTATGATACAAAATTAATATCATTAGATATATCGTTGAATCTATTTTTTTAATAAATTTATTTGAAGATAAAAATATTACACATATTTTCTATAAATTTAATTTAGTTAAATTTAGGTTACGGAAACTAACTACAACACTTATTTTAGGAACGGAAGCAGTATACCAAACTCCTCTGTGACGACACCGGATGCAAACCTATTTACCGCTCCACCGCATCCCCCGCCACTCCTCCGCCGAAGCCAATCCTCTCCTCATGGCGAGCAGCAACGTCTCCACTCTCCACCGTCTACATCTCTGTCATTGATGACGCCATCTCCCAGGTCCGCGAGGATTTCATCACCTACGGAGTCGGCGACGCCGTCCTAAACGAGCTCTAGGCTGTAAACATCTGATTTATCGATCCCCAGCTCTCGTCCCCTTCAATTTTTTCTTGATTTCAGCGATTTGACGGTTGTCTCTCCGATCCGGCCGAGAAAACCCTAGGTCTGGGAGATGAAAATGCTGCACTGTGGCGCGATCTCGGGGAACATAGACCGAACCAAGGCTGCTGCCGCGTGCGCCGGAGGCACCACCGGCACGACACCGCCCGTGCACGATCTCAACGTGCCGTACGAGGCAACATCCGAGGAGTACGCCACCCCGACCGCTGACATGCTGTTCCCGCCGGTGAGACCGAATCCCTCGTCTGCTGCACCTTAATTTTTTTTCCCGATTTACGCAATTGGGACGCGAGGTTCTGGATGAGTTACTTGTATTTGTTTTCAGACACCATTGCAGACCCCAATCCAGACTCCTCTGCCAGGGACAGACACAGCGATGTACAACATACCCACCGGCCCTTCCGGTTATGCCCCATCACCGATCAGCGATATCAGGAACGGGATGGCGATAAATGGGGCAGACCCAAAAGCTGGCCGTCCAAGTCCCTACATGGTATTGTGAATTTGTACTGTGCTGTTATGTGTGACTAGTTTTTCCCCCTTGTTTTTTTTTAACTTAGTTTTCCCCCCTTGTTAGTGTTAGCTGTTTGTCATGTTTAGAAGTTTTTGCAGCCACCACCTTCCCCATGGATAAATCAGAGGCCGCTGGGCAATGATGTGAATGTCGGTATGTGCATGCTTATGTCCTCTGTTTGTTGTCCACGACTCCACGTGCAAACTGCATTCCCAGTTTAGTCTATTTGGAGGTAATATCATTTGGGAAAACAATAACTAAAACAATTTGTGTGACTCATAATGTACAGCTTATGTGGAAGGCCCTGAAGATCTGGACAGGGGCATGCAGCCGCAGCCACTGACTCAGGTAAAATATGAGATCGCAGATCATTTGGGAGTATGGATAATCGGTAATGTTGTATTGGGGATTCCATCTATTATTTGTTTTGGGCTCTCATTTATTTCTGTAGAACATTGCTCCCTGATGATATTGTCAATCAGAATACGATTGTGGATAAATAGAATATGTTTCCAGAGTTGAAAGTTGGTTATTGTCCCTTTTGCTAATAATATTAGCCTGTTCGTTAATTTTATTATTGATTGGGTTTGTTAATTTTAGGATTCTGAGATATTTGTTATGATTTTACAAACTTTTATTTATAGTAATAATTGAAGGGCAGGCCTGGTGCAAGTGGTAGAGTCTTACCGCCTGTGACCGGAAGGTCCCGGGTTCGAGTCGCGGTCTCCTCGCATTGCACAAGCGAGGGTAAGGCTTGCCACTGACATCCTTCCCCAGACCCCGCACAGAGCGGGAGCTCTCTGCACTGGGTAGGCCCTTATTTATAGTAATAATTGGTGATGGGAAACACACTGAGAATCTTGTTCTCAAATTCTGTTTAAACAATTACTTCATGCAACATGAATGATATGTTAGGTCCTGGGTGTGTGTTTGTGTAAGTGTGTGTTTTGGGTGTCTTAAAAGGGTTCTTTACCATTCTTAATACAAAGATACACAGCTCTCCTACATGTTCAATAAAAAACTTACTTCATCTATAATGTGTATATCACAAGTAGTGTTTCTCTTTCGATGATGCCATGTATATTTGAATTTCGGATTGAATGAAGAAACAGTCAGCTTGAAAAGTCCACTTCCTTCCAACAAGTTATTCAAAAATGTTTAGTGGAAGTGATTAAAAGTGTGATGTTTATGGAAACTGCAGAATAAATATGCCAGCAGGATTAATTAGTTCAGTTTGTTCTGTTAGCATTATATGCGCTGGTGGTAGTCATGGTCTATTGTTGGACTTCGAGCAATGTTTACTTGTAATAATGCTGCATGGTGTTTCTTGGTAGGCATATTTTGTACTTCTTCCGTTCCAAATTATAAGACATTTTGGCTTTTCTAGATACATTTCTTTTACTATGTATTTAGACATAGTGTATATTTAAGTGCATAGCAAAAGCAATGTATCTAGAAAAGCTAAAAAGTCTTATAATTTGGAACGGAGGGAGTAGCATTTTATTTAGAGTTAAACTGGAAGTTCTCATGTTTGCTTCTTTGGTTTTATGTTCTCAAATCTATGTCTCATAATTAATTAATGTACCATTTAGTTATGAGGTTTAGGCGTTTAGCATATCTTCAACATGAACTCTCTTGTGTGGAGTTCAGCTAGTTTAACCTTGGGGCGGGGGGCAAAAACCATTAGGCATTAGCAGCTTGCCAATAGGTTTGAACTTGTTTTACCTGTATTGCTGGTCCAAGGTAACTAATCCATTTGCATTGTTATATTGAGTCCTGATTGTTGCAGTTTCATTTTGGTTCGTTTGTTTTTGTAGGATTTTTTGATGATGTCTTCTGGAAAATGCAAGAGGGATGAGTATCCTGGTCAGCTCCCTTCTGGTTCTTTTGTACCACAGCAAGATGGAAGTGCTGATCAGATAGTAGAATTTGCTGTGTCAAAGGTAACTATCAGTGATAAATTCAATTCAATGTCTGGCATTACTTTTCCTTGATACATTACTTCAAATATGTTTGTGCTTCCTTGAGTTATTTAGTGCTATGCTAGCCTTGCTAGGACTGGTTGCACAGTTTGAGGATTTGTTCCTCATCCCCCAGTTTACAATGAAACGAGTCTTCGGTTCACAGCCATGCCCTATTTAGGATGGAATATGTCTAGTTTTTGTTTTATGCAAGTAACTTTGGTGTTCCACACTTTCTTTTTGCATCTGACCCACCAATCATACATCCATGTTTTTTTCCCATAGTTTGCACACTAAATCCATGGCATGCCATACTTTAACACGGTATTTGTGATGTGAGTACAACAAGACACAACTAGTAGCTATTAGATATCTGGTATGGTCTAATGGAGTTAGTATTGTTTTAAAAAAAACTAGACCAACCTTGGAGGAACTAGGTGGCATTCAATTAAGAAGAAAATAGGCACCCAAAGCCTCGACGAGGACTTGAACCTGGGTAGCGTGGGTATGCATCCACCCCTTGACCAACTGAGCTAGTCTAGCTTCCTGAGTCTGCTTTTGTTGTGCATTAATTAGTTGACCGCTCACTCAAATCTGTTTCTGTCATGTATAGCCAATTTAGACACTAACACAGTTGTAAAGCTTGTACTTCTAGTGCAGTGTGCATCCTCTTTATATTTAACATTTAACGATCGGGTCCTCTGGAGAAGTAACTAAATCATTCATTTTGTAAGCTGAGAATATGTTTCTATCATAATGGAATATATTGAGTATGTCCAACTAGAATGACCTAATTTTTTCCATCTAATTGATTTATGTAGTATTCCTCTGTTTATGAAAATTCTTTGAATGTTCAATATCTTGTGTGTTAAAGTCCTCAGTTCTGTTAATCAGTGTTCAGGAAAATGCAAACCAACTTTGGAGTTCCATCATCAACAAGCTTGAAACACCAACCAAGACAATCACTCCAGTTATTCCCCAGTGTGATGGGATTCAAGATGACTACAATGATGTATTATTCTAAAACTAATGGGTTCACATAGATATTTCAGTACAAACTTACTGTGATATTTCTTTTTCCAGCAATTTTTCTTTCCAGGAGTTCCAACTGAAGATTATAATACCCCTGGAGAATCTGGTAAATTGTCATCAAACTGTGCAATTTTATGTTTATTGCTGAATCATTATTTTGTGTTACTTATACATATTTTTGTTATGTTTATTAGCGGAGTATCGAGCTCCTACACCTGCTGTTGGAACACCAAAACAAAGAAATGATGCTGGAGATGAGGATGATGATGAACCTCCTCTTAATGAAGACGATGACGACGACGAGTTAGATGACCTTGAGCAAGGGGAGGATGAACCTAACAACATCTTGTACTTGCACAATTTGACAAAGTAGGTGCACTTTGTTTAAGTTAATATTTGCTATCCATGCTTAAGTTTCCCCTCTAATTTCAGTCCACTGTCTTACATCCTCTTCAATGATAATAGGTGTCAAGGACCAAGAATCGTTGGAAGTGCACTTTGAAGGATGTAATCATGCATTTGAATGGCAGGGATGTTCTATTTAACAAGGTGGGTAACATAATCTTTTTTTGGTCAAGTTTGTGAATATTAACTTTGAGTCTCAAACTGTATTATGTTTTTACCATAAATAATAGCTAAATCCCTTGACATGTTTGGAAAATTATATTATATTATATTATATTAGAGGATAGAGGCAGCTATTTTCAAGCTAATTGACCACATAATAATCATCTTAAATTGTGATCCTGGCACAGAAGACATGCAGAGTAGGTAGGTAGTTGGAAGATCCTGGTGGATTAATTTACAACTTCCAAATCATGGATTAGCTTTGGTGATACATTTTTTTGCGAAGGGGAGGGGGATTACAAGACACAATACATCGTTGAATTACACAAGAAAAATTCTGAAGTAAAAAATACATAATATTCTATCTAGGTTCTTCCATCGTCTTTTTCCCTAGTGGCTTTCCTCGATGCAACCAATACTCTAGATGAACTTGTTGAACGCCGGAGCCAAACTGTAGTCCTTATGTTGAATCCAACGATCAACTCCCAAACATTGGATATGCCACAAGATCCAGCGTTTCAGAACCAGTCCAAAATACATCTGAATCGATGAAAGAATATTGGCAGTTGCATCGTCAGATACAACATTGGATGTAGATTCATTACCACCAATCCTTGATTTCCTCTCCGCAATCGTCAACTATGAGATTTCGACGCCTGCAATAACAATCTTATTGTGTAAGTCATCGCAGGAAACAAGATCCTGATTAAAAATCATATGATTTTTTTTTGTAGATTTATTTGGGCTAAACCCTAAGCAACTAGATATAAAACTATGGAAAAGAGAGAGATCCTCTCTTCTTCTTATCACCGGAAGATGCACCGGAGATGAAGGAGAGGGGCCCTACGCACCGGCGCTGGCGCGGAGCAAGAGCTACGGCGAGCATCCTGGTTTCCTCGGTGTGGAAGGCGTGTAACTGATTATGAGCATCCTGGTTTCCTCGGTGTGGAAGGCGTGTAACTGATTATGTTTCTTTTCATTTCTTGATTAGCTTTGGTGATACAGGTAGTCCCAAGTTTGTTATAGATATTGCACAAATGGCTTGGGACAAACCGTGTTTCAAGGAAGGAAGTATGTGTTTGGACCCAAGGAGATAGGAACCAGAAATACACGCTACAAAACCCATCACGACGAACACAGCGAGAAGGGGGCCACTGTAGCTCGAGGCTAGCTCCGGCTAGATTTCCTAGCCCCTTCCCCTATCTCCTCTCATCAATGTATCGACAACCTTCTAGTATATATTCTAGAAAGAGTTAAATGCATTAGTGGCCTACGAACTTTGAAAATATATTTTTAGATCACTAAATTTGTTAAGTAATGCACTATAAGTCTATGTCAGCCATGTGGGCCTTGCTGATATAGCAGGCTAGCGTAACATGTATTTTTATATTTAACGCTTCAATTTTTTTTTCTTTGAAAAGTAGACCCTCCCTTCTCTCTCCTCCTATGCTCGTCAGTTTCGCATGCACATGGTACCTACATCGGTGATGATGTGGGCAAAGCTTGAGGCGTTGCCCACCCCATCGGGTGAGGAGGTGCCTCCATGGGCGGTGAGGAGGCAACTCCAGGAGCCACGTGACCTTCTGCAGCAGCAGAGAAGGGAGGAGGGGTAAGAAAGAGAGGAAGGAGAAGGGAGACTGGGAGAGTTTGTTTTTATAGGAAAAAATAAACGTGAGGGGTTAAAAGTAAAAATATATACATGCCACGCTGGCATGCCACATCAGCGAGGAATATCCACGTGGTTGACATGGACCTATGGTGCATCGCTTAAAAGGTTAGGAACCTAAAAATACATTTCCGAAGTTCATAGACCTACTAGACATACATTTAGGGCTGTCGGTGCATTTAACTCCTACAGAAAACCAAGTTGCTCCTGTATACATCAGTTCGGTTGTACCAGCATTTGGGTCTAACACATGATCATTCTTCATCCACAGACAAATGGGTTCGTATAGCCAAATTTTGTACAGCTTTAAGCGTTCCTATTCCAAGAGTACATCAAGGCATTGGACAAAAATCACGTAGAGGATAATTTGGCTCTCCTTGTTTTAGTCATCATCCACATACACTGTTTCTTGTTTGAAGAGGCCACCAAACACTGGCCTCACTTCTGGTTTGGGATCCGGCTGCTTCAATTGTGGCTTCACTTTCTGCGCTGCTGGCTTCACAATGGCAATCCGCGGTGCCAGCTTCTTTGCTTTTTCCTGGCCTCGCACAGTGGCTATCTGTGCCTTTGGTTCCTTCTCTAGCGAGGTTCGAGGAGTCGTCACTTCAGCCAGCTGTGTGCTGAACTTCTCCCAAAAGAAATCCGTACTGATCACTTTGGGTATACTCAAGAGGTTCTCTAGAGAGGCTTGGGCCTCGTTCACCGGGCTAGCAGCAGCTGCTGCATCTTCTAAGGGTGCCTTCTTCATGTCGGCTTCAAATTTACTGGCAGCTGCTTCAGCTTCGTTAGCTCGTTTTGAGGCCAAGGTTTCCTCTTTGGCTTGTGCTTTCGCAGCAGCATCTTGGTACTCCGTTCTTCTACTGTCTTCAGGGATAGCTCTGTAGAGAGAACGTACATGTGTTGTACAAAACTGAGTAAGTAATGAATCGTAAGATGATGTTGAAGTTTCACGTAATCATGAATTTCAAACACCTAAGAACAGATAATTGTCAACTGGTCAATCAAATAAACAATTCATGAATACAACACTGCAATTATGAAAGTGCAAAGCTAACAATTATTAAACACTTAACGAGAATAATTCAAATTTTGTGCCACAATAAGGAAAGGTAACAAGTAAATACAAAAGAACATTCGTGAAGGTTGAATTCTTTATAAGATTAGAGATTGTATCTTAACTTTAGACGTTCCCATAAAACCAATACCCTTATTATATCCACTATGAACCAAACAAATAAGAATTAAACCATTGCCTCTAATATTTTCTTAACCAAATTTATGCTCGTAGGGCCAGTTTGTTTTAGCATGCAGATTGTGAATTGTAGGTATTTATAATCTAAAAGCCGAGATAAACAAGCCCCAGCTGCGAACGGATGCCTAGCCGAGTTGGTTAGGTGGCTTTAGTAGCACTCCTCAGGTCGACTCCGAGTAAAGGCTAGGATTGAGGTTAAAAAAATCTCCTCGTTTATACCACGCCAAAGCAGAGGTCTAAGGACCGGCCCAGGTTCTCACATGGGCAACGGTGCCACTGTGTAAGCTGCATGAGAATGTTACTTTCTATCTTATAAGAAGAATGCCTGGGGCTATCTTACCCCGAGGTTTTTTTAACAGGCCCCACCTTCTAATCAGATTATAACAATCCACAGGCCAGATTGTTACAATATAACAATCCACTGTTCCACACCTTGCAGATTGTGAATTGTTTCAATCAAGAAACTAATTCTCCTTCCATGATCCCAGTTCCTATCAAATCAAGTTGTTGTTCTTCCTCTGAATGGTACTCATTTTTTCTGTGTTAACGATCACAGCTGCTATGACGTCCTTACATCTGTTTTTAATACCACATACCAAGGTGTTTTAACAACGGTTTCTTTTCATAATTAAAATGCATGGTAAGGTCTTTATATAATCCAAGACACAAAAAACAGTCTATCATGTCAGTTTCCTGATCTGTTGAAGGGGATGAAGGGCAGAATAGAAGGGGCACTTAAAGGGAGGAGGAGAAGGAGTGGCGGCCCTAGGGCTGGCAGCACCTAGGATGAGACAAGGGGCGGTGGCAGAAGGGCTGCTGCCAGAGGCTTGCTGGAGGGCCAATGGGCGCCGCAGGTTAGAGAGCTTTAGGTTTTATCCCATACCCTCCAACCAAAAGTCTAAGTCATACAGCCCATGGCACCGTGACGAAGGAGGGCTCAAGGATCGCCATTTTTCATTTATTCACCACCGCTCCCTTAAGGCACCGGCGTCCATTTGGTTTCTCGGGATCCTAAACATAGGCCAACGCTAACACAGTTACCATGCCTGGTATCGCGCGCTCACCTCCTGTTCCTGTGATGCATCCATTTTTGCCAGCCGCACTGCTTGTTAAATTTCCCGCGACCCCTCCTGCTCAGGTTTAATGTTCCATGAGTCTGTGGCCACACCGAAAATTAGCGGAGGTAAGACCAAAAATTAGCCATGATCTCCTGCCTGCCACTTCTCAATTCATAGGACCAAAAATAAAAGTTTCAGTGCCATGGCCTATATAACTCGCCATGGAGAACTATGTCCACGAAATACCAGTGAACTGTTCTCTCTCTCTCTATCTTTGATTCATGCTGGAGTAGAAAACCAATGCCCAGATTAGAGATCGACTTAAACCAAGAGCCACCCAAATCAGGTCAAAACCATTCAATAGATTGGGATGACATTGTAGAGTGGGATGGCCCTGCCCATGAACTAGATTATTACATGGTTTGGGATGATGAAATTCACTGTTCTCATTTACTCATTCTTCTGTTTTGCTATGTCTTCATTCTGTTTATGATCTCATTTCTCTGTTTTTTGTTTGATGTCTTAGGTGATGAAGATCAAGGAGCCGATGGAGTGAAATGATGCTGGTGCAGATGACGTTCATGTTTCTTCTGATGCAGCAACAGATGGCATTGGCCATGTGTTTGTCATATTTATCGCAAGAGTCCATATCCCAATTCAAACCTCACACAAGCTCCACCTCCACTGTGCCCCCCACCCCCGGTATCCATCGCAATGGCGGGTGGCGCTACGGGGCTGGGTTGCGGCATGGTGGCACAGGCATGATGGCTGAAAGTATAAGTCTTGTGCCTATCTACTTAGGATTTTTATCTAGAATAGTTGGTGGCTGT